TGTGTGTGTGTGTGTGTACTATGACAAACAGGAATTTTCTTCCTGCGTGTACTTTTTAGTGCATAGAAACTGAACAACAGGTGTTTTATAAAAATCTTTCTTATTACCGATTTTATTTTTATTTATTGTGATTTTGACAAGTCGGTAAATAATGGTGGTACTTGGAGATGTAATGTAATGTGAAGAGTCTTTTGTAGTTACAAACCCACAGACAATTATCACCAGCTCTGGAGCATATTAGCTGATTGTAGTTAATTCTTTTCCAGCCTGCAAACTCGGCTCTCATCAGATTTGTTTCAGGCAGCAGCTGGTTTCAGTGAAAAAGCTCTGAACCTGCTGTCCACACTCTCTCTGTCCTCTCCAGGTCCTGAGTGACTGCTGGGCCGTGCTGCAGGTGCTGGGACCCTGGTGCGCGGACAAGGCAGCGGGTATCATGGTGCGGGAGCTCCAAAAGTACATCAAACACGAGCAGGAGGAGCTCAGCCGCAAGTTTCTGCTCTTCACGGACACCATCCTGCGCAAAGTGCACGCTCTCTGCGAGGAGCACTTCTCCCCCGCCTCGCTGGACCTCAAGTTTGTCACCCCCAAGGTCCTCCGGCTGCTTGAGATCCTACACGAGTACAAGCCCTTTGAGCGGCAGCAGTTTGAAAGCGTGGAGTGGTACAACAACCGCAACCAAGACAACTATGTGTCCTGGAGCGACTCTGAAGATGAAGACGAAGATGAGGAGGTGGAGGCCAAAGAGAGGCCCGAAGCCAACTTTCCCTCACCGTTCACCAACATCCTGTGTGGGATCATCTTTGTAGAGAGGCGTTACACAGCTGTCGTCCTCAATCGGTAGGGCTCTGTGATCTTCATGGCTGTCTGGTCCATGGTGTGAGAGCTGTACTTCACGTTGTAAACCAAAAACAATCCAGATTACTGACTTTCTATTGGTTTTCTGTTATTTATTATACAGTCATACAGGGTTGTTTTGTGGTCTCTAGTGTGTACCAAATGGCTCTTGTCTGTTTTTTTTTTTTTAAACTAGAACTACCTTTTTAACTAGGAATGACCATGTTGAAAACATGACATGCTACTAATATATTTGCATGCAGAAATTACATTTTGAATTCTGGAAATTAGGACTGCACAATTAATCATAATATTATTGAAATTGCAATATGGCCAAGGGCAATATAAGCACAGAAGTTGCAGTTTGTTGATAAATGTAACAAACAGTGACATTATAATACATATGTGTTTATGTATTATAATGAATTACTGTAGTGCTGCAGAGATGCTTTAAGCAACAAATGTTGTTCTCCAGATGTAGGAAAACATGTTTATTTGGTACAGACCCCAACTAGTGAAAATGAAAATTGTGACGCAAAAATGATCATTTCCACTAATCGTGAATCATTATTATTATTATTATTATTATTATTATTATTATTTAATTTTTTTTACCATATCGTGCAGCCCTAGTGGAAATTCCTTTCTTGAGATCTAAAATTTTATTTCAGCCAATACCAGATATTGTACATAGTGTATTGTTACTAGCAGGAATATAATTTTCACCTGTACACAATTGTATTTCAGATATCTGAAACGATATTCTTATAATTTGCTTAAAATTCCAAGCTATAAATATTAATAATAGAATTCAAACTAGTCAGAATTGGATTTTGGATATCTATTATTCCATTTATGATATCTGTAATGTAAGAACAATTGTAGATATTTCCACTAGTAAGAACTGATTTATTGATATCATCTTTTTGACAGTTGTAGACATCAATAGAATTGAACTAGTCAAAATTACATTATGGATATGTCTTGGATGACTTGGAATTATTTTAAAAATGAATTATAGATGTCTAATTGAGTTTGAACAGAAGTCAATGGTAAAAACGGACTTGTTGTAATTCATTTACAGATATCTACAATGAACATTGCCACTGGTAAAAGTTTAATTGTTGATATCAAAGATTAAAGCTGCATTTTGTTTAGTATGAAAATAACTTTTTGTCATAGTTGCTGTGACATTAGTAGAACATGAGACAGATAATCTGTGAAAAAATCAGGTTCCTCTGGCTCCTCCCAGTGCTCCTAGACTCCAGGCCTGGTGTTATCTACTGCACCTTTTAAACTTTTCACTTTTCAATTTTAGATCCATAATTACATTACGCATATTCTGGCTTGGAATTCTACCTAGTCAAAAAGCAGTTGTTGACATCTACAATGGCTACTACCTCTACTAATTCAATGTAAAAAGGGCTTGACCTAGAGCCACGGCAGCTGAGAGAAAGTGTAACATTAATGTGTCTTCCTCAGTCTGATCAAAGAGGCGGGGAAGCAGGACCCGGAGCTGGCTTACATCAGCAGCAACTTCATCACCGGCCACAGCATCGGCAAGAACCAGCCGCGGAACAAGCAGATGGAGGTGGAGTTCAGGAAACAAGAGGAGGTACACAGACTGCAATCATGTGGATGTTGGACAGTAAACAGCTGGAGACATTACGTTTCTTGTTCATTTGGCAAATCCAGCTACCACAGGGCCTTTTTTTCAGAACTGCCTTTGACTCTATCAAAGCAGTATTAAGACTCGATTCTGTTCTGCCCTCCCTTTTTATCTCACAGGTCCTCCGCAAATTCCGGGCTCATGAAACTAACCTGCTGATCGCCACCAGCATCGTGGAGGAAGGCGTGGATATTCCAAAGTGTAACCTGGTGGTGCGCTTCGACCTGCCCACAGAGTACAGGTCCTATGTCCAGTCCAAAGGCAGAGCTCGGGCACCCGTCTCCAACTACATCATGCTGGCTGACAGTGAGAGGACCAAAGCCTTCGAGGAAGACCTCACTACCTACAAGGCCATAGAGAAGGTAACCTTTTAAATGAGGTAATAGTTGATTATTTGAGTAATGGTAGGAGTTTTCTTATCCTGTCTCATCAAGGAGGTATGTTAGAAGAAATGGTTTAAAGTGAAGCAGAATGAGTTAGTGATGAGCATCTCACTTTACTTTTGAGCAGATCTTAAGGAACAAGTGCTCCAAGTCAGTGGAGGTGAGTGAGTTTGAAGTAGAGCAGGTGCTGGACGATGACAACATCCTCCCACCCTACGTGCTTCGGTCTGAGGATGGAGGTCCCCGGGTCACCATCAACACAGCCATCGGACACATCAACAGGTAGGGAGATGTTTTTGCAAAGTCCTAAGTGTCCCTATGAAGTAGTGTTGCACAGTACACCGATACTTCAAAAGTATTGCGACTCTCAGAAATTAAAAACGTAATGATTCCTAAATTTATTGGTATCGATACTTTTAAGAATGACCACGTTCCAGACGTTCAGATTTGTAAGCAGACGTTATTTCCCATGTTTTGGTAATGTGCAACGCATGCTTCCAGTGCCTCCCTGCTTTGGACGTTCCTGTGTTTTTTCTCCTTCAACGCATGCAGCAAAGATAGCTGCAGCTGTCATTGTGACAAACATAATACACTATAACGTGACGCTGCTATGTGCGACACAATGTATACTGTGGCCGCCGGTCCACACTGTTTAGAACATAAGATCGACGTCGAAGTTTTAATAATTGGAGTACTTTTGCCTACCTTTGCTGACAGTGAGGGCAAAGCTACCGGCTAAGTCGACGACCTGTTTTCGTCAGTGCTACTAACAAATGCAAACAAATGTAAACAAAGGGAGCCAACAAGCTCGAACCTTGCGAAATTACCTAGCACGCCCGAGTTTGTACACAGGAGTCTTTAAAGACCCTTGACAGGCTTAGTATGTGAAAGTATAACACGATCACGTTCATGCCTTCTTAAATAATCAATATGAGTAACGGTTTATCTTTGTGAAAGTCCCTATTTTTGCACCACCGTAGTTTGACCGAGGGCTATTCTAGAGAAATAGTAAGATTAACTATGGGCATTATCTCTCATCGGCTAACCATATAGCTGCTAAACGGCTAATTCAACTATCTCTGAAAACGCAACTTTTCAACAGTATAACGTTAATATTTGCAAGTGATTAAAATACAAGCATACCAAAACATCAGCTAAAATGATCTATAGGCTATATGATTATAAAATCAGAAGCATTGCATGTTTGTCAGTGATTTTATTTGAGGTTATTATCAGCAATTTAAAGACACAGACCTACGCAAAAGGTGTATTTTGTAAGAACGCCTTTATAAGAAATTATGGCACTCAAATATACAAGTTACTCAATCCATAAGAAATCAGACGTTGAAGTACCAAAACATTAGCCTATATTAATCCATATCATCACAGCCTTAAATAACATTAAGGTTAAACTCATTTATTTCCTATATATTAATTTATGGTAATGTTAATGGTTAAGTTAAAATGTTACGCAGTTACCTCACTGTACACCACCTGCATCTTAGAATGCTAAGTTTAGTTCACAAGTTATTTTACTATTCATCCCTTTTTATAAACTATTTTAGGTTCTTCTGTTTGACAAATTTATCACCATCATACTATTTTAAAATATTTTCCATTTTCTTCTGCTAAAATACACAAGTTCTGGGGCCCCGGGCTCCGAAAGAGCAACTCCTCCCAAAAGCAGCAGCCAACCCACAGCAACCCCCCTCCCAAGTCTTAAGCTTAGCCCAATATTTTTGATATTTCATATTTTTGTTCCAAATGTTTATCTGCCTGTTCAATTATGTTCATTCATTATGTGTGCTATATGATTCAAATGTTTGTCCCGGTTTTAAATAAAGCACCAATGTATATTTTGAAGTGTCTTCTCCCTTTCAAGGAAAAGATCGAAAAAAGTATCGAAATCGCAATTCTTGGACTTGGTAAATCGTAATCGAAAAATAATTTTATGTGGTATCGGTGACAACACTCACTATGAAGTCAAAAATCAGTTCTTAAAGTGTTCTATCGTAATGTCTGCTTGCTATAACACTCACCTTATTCTAGCTAAGGTCTGATTACTTAAAGTGAAACACATTTAATATAATAATCCAACACCCGCTTAGCCCCTTTCATAGGTAGTTTAAATCCTCAAAGTTCATAAAGGAAATGACAACAAAACAAACAATAAAGCACATACTTAGTGATCTCCTTTTGCTCTTCCATCGCTCAGGTATTGTGGGCCCGGCTCCAGTGACCATTTCAACCCAACTTAGCACCCAAAGCTGTCAAAACCCTGGAGACGCATGACGGACGCTTCCAGGTCCACCACTCTCACTTACCCATCGAAACACTCCGCCTCTGCGAAGTCGCGACTGTTAAGGTAAGGAGATTTTTGACCAGTCCGTTCAAAGTTGTCCAGCGTACAAAAACGCCAAGTGTATTTTCCAGCTGCCTTTCCCTGGGAATTCTAGAAAGATGATCATAATTATAACAACCTTCTTCAGGTTCATTCATTTTAATTGATATGTCACTGTGTAATACCAGGCCGGCGTCCTAGGAGAGGAGAACGGATGAAAACCTGTAACCAGACTGGCGGGCAGAGAAAAGCAGTTGCACCTAGTATGCTGTGAGAAACTCCACAAAATAGGTAACACCAGAAATTAGATTTGCAGAACCACCCTCCTGTAGAACTTTTGCCTGCATCTGTCTTAGCTTGTTTATCTGGCTTTTCTTCGCCACCCCGGTGAGCTGGATGATCACCCTGATGCCCGTGGGGGGAGAGGGGAAGGGAAGACAGTAAAGCTAACAGAGGAGGCGAAAGCCTTGACCTTCAATGATGAGGGGAGACCAGCGTGAGCCAGGCCGGCCGCGGCCTCTGACCAACGAGGAGGCAGTTGCTACCCTTAAAGCCGGTAAGAAAGTCTCTTACTGCTGGCGAGGTTCACTGACTCTAGAAACTCAAAGCAAAAACACGATTTTTCATTTGTTTCATTGAAGAATCCCTAAAAATCACTTTGGACCTGTCTTGACTGACCCTTACCTTTTCGTTTTAGTTGCTGATATATTCTTATAAATAACAAGTTGCAGAGATAGAAATTACTGTAGTCTAAAACATCATCATGCTTTAAAGTAATGCCAGGGTTTATACTTTTATTTGGGCACCATAACAGCAAGTGCAAACAATTTTTGCAGGGACCACCTGTAATACATCCAATGTATTACACTTGGTATGTATTATACGCAGCAGCAAACGTGTATGCAGTACACTCCCAATAAATTTAATATTATATACCTCAGGGGTCTACAAAAACCGTTTTTGAATCGGAGAAAATCGAATTTTTGATTTAAAAGATGCAAGTGCATCCGGTACGC